TGTTGACATATTAGTAAATTGTTTAAGTTACAATTATCCATTATTTATTTATATTTTGAATAAAGAGTTCTTTAATTGTTTGTGAGTTAATAGGTAGTTTATTTTCCTTATTATACATCATTGTAAAAGTTTTGACAAATGCATTCATAATTAAATCATTATTAATACTAGAAATAGCAATGTGATTACCTTTACAATTAATACAAAATGGATTACTTGTATTTTCACACTCCTTGTAGGAGTGGGCACCACCACATACAGAACATACTATTGCTCGTTTACAAAACTTAGATGTATGGCCAAAATTTAAACAGTTGTAACATTGCAAAACTGGTCTAATGTATGGTTCTACCCTCAATGCACATAGATCAAACGTGACATAATTTGGTAAACTATTACCAGAAAAAGTAATTGATACAGTTTTAAGAGGAATAATCCCTTCCGACGTTTTTTTAGTGAATCTTCTTATTATTACGGCCATTAAGGCCGTAAAGGCCAGAAAGCCACAGAAACACATTCGTTACTGGTCTTTATCTTGATTTGATTTACCAATTCGCAAATCGGAAAAAGTACACCTCTGCATCTACTGTTTTTCTTGTAGCTCTTTCCATACATCTACTGTTTTTTTCTATAACGCCTCCCGATTTTTGAAAATCGGACCTGGCAGCAACACTGCAGACTGATGTCATTATGTCGACTTTTTGGCGGGCTTTTAAATAGGAAAGGCGCAATTTTTAAGTTTTATTTCATTTATTTTATTTTCATAGTTAAAACTTAGAGAAAGTTTAGTTTTCTAAAGTTTAAAGATGGACGAAGATAGTGGAGGTAAAAATACCAAGAAGAAAAAGTCGGTTAAGAGGCGTAAGGAAGAATTTTTGTCTGATGCTTCGGATCACACATCCATCCGTATTTATTCGCCAAATTCTCAGGGAACTGTGTTCTCTGTATATTTAGAAAGTACCAAACCAGAGGAAAAGTTCGGTAATAAAAATCCAATTTATTTAAATAGCATTTTTAATAGATTCATTAAAGGAGTTAAACAGTTAAAACGTACAAATGCTTCCAAATATGCCGTAATTTTTGATAATTCAAAAAATGTCAATGCACTACTTAACAACTCACAGTTTTTAAAGAGTCAGGAATTGAAAGCCTATATACCAGCATCACAAGCTGAATGCATTGGAGTGATAACATTTGTACCAACCAAGCTAAGCAATAAAACTTTATTCAACAAACTTGTATCCTCACAAGAAATTCTAGGAATAAGAAGATTCACTAAAAAAAAGTCGGAAGGGATTATTCCTCTTAAAACTGTATCAATTACTTTTTCTGGTAATATTTTACCAAATTATGTCACTTTTGATCTATGTGCATTGAGGGTAGAACCATACATTAGACCAGTTTTGCAATGTTACAACTGTTTAAATTTTGGCCATACATCTAAGTTTTGTAAACGAGCAATAGTATGTTCTGTATGTGGTGGTGCCCACTCCTACAAGGAGTGTGAAAATACAAGTAATCCATTTTGTATTAATTGTAAAGGTAATCACATTGCTATTTCTAGTATTTGTCCAATTAAATTACAAAAAATAGAAGAGAATAGAAACAGAATTGTAAATAAGCTCACCCTAGTTACTCAGTTTCCAGAAATAAGTATGAAAAAGCCATCTTTTCCTAAATCTTTTGTACAAGTCACAAACACCAAGCCGCATAAATTAGATAATAAGGACTTAATAATTGAATTTGTTAATAATGATTTAATTATGAATGCATTTGTCAAAACTTTTACAATGATGTACTATAATAAGGAAAATAAACTACCTATTAACTCACAAACAATTAAAGAACTCTTTATTCAAAATATAAATAAATAATGGATAATTGTAACTTAAACAATTTACTAATATGTCAACACAACATACAAAGTCTTAAGCAGAAATTACCTTTAGTACAGAATCTTCTTTTTGATAATAGTATTGACATATTAATCTTAAATGAAACTTGGCTTAAGCCAACCGCAAATGTTAATATACCATATTATAAATTACTAAGGAAGGATTTAAGTAATGGTCATGGTGGTGTTGCATTTTTTTACAAAGAAAACTTAAAATATAATTTAATTATTACTCGTTCCACTGAAAACATTCAAAATATTGCCATAATTGTTGAAACAATATCAGGTCCTCTCACTATTTTAGGTTGTTATTGTCCTCCTCGAACAACACGTTTTTTCTATAATACTCTCAAAAGTATAGACAGCTGCCGACTCCCTTATTGTTATTAGGAGACTTAAACGCTCATCATACTGCTTTCGGTTGTGCTACCAATAAACAAAGAGGAATACAAATTTACGACATGCTGGATGACTTTAATTTGTGCATTTTGAATGACGGACCATGTACCACAGTCAATCGTCCACATAATTCACCGTCTGCTATTGATGTAGCTTTCGTATCTTCGAACCTAATGCCTTCTTGTAATTGGTCTGTGTTTTATGATGATTGCTTAGGTAGTTATCATTATCCAACAATGGTTACCATCCAAATTAAGCCTAATTATTATCAAATAATTAACAAAACAGATAGATTTCTATTTAGGCAAACTAACTGGGAAGAATATACAGAAGCCTCAAAAAATTTGCTAAGCCATTATGATTTTTCTAATGTTAATCCTGTATTGAATTACAACTGCTTTGTTGATTTCGTCAACAACTTGAAAGAAATTTACGTTCCGAAACGTACGCCATCTAATACTTTTAGTTGCGTTCAAAACCAAAAACAACACATACCAGTACCGTGGTGGAATGATATTTGCTCAAATGCTGTTAAAAAAAGTAGACTAGCTTTATATAGCTATAGACGTTTTCCAATTATTGAAAACTATTTAATATATAGAAAGTTAGACGCAAAGAAGAAATTAATCATAAAAGAGCAAAAAAAACTTTCCTGGATTTCCCTCTGTTCAACATTTGATCGCATGACACCAAGTTCACGTATTTGGAATTTTATAAAGAAATTTAATAAAAATAGACCCAGGGTTCAAACTAAAGATGATTGTTGGGTTGAAGCATTCTTGGACAAATTATCCTCAGATCAGAATACATTAAACTCTATATTGTTTTAAACTTTCATGGTCACTAACATTATAGATATTAACGGGATTGTTACCATGTACCTTGTTTTTTATGAGTCTCCGATATTTCGGCACTGTTGCAAGCGCCATGATCACGGAGTAACTGAAGTAATTGCGGGTAGATGTTATTGGCAGACATATCGGTCTACCCTCTGACGTCGTCTTTTACTGCGTTCGATACTACCACTACCATTGGTCACATTCTCACTATTCACTCGCATTTGTTCCCGGCACACAATACTCACAGTATCAGATCGCGGAACGACACTTTTTTGCGAGTGAATAGTGAGAATGTGACCAATGGTAGTGGTAGTATCGAACGCAGTAAAAGACGACGTCAGAGGGTAGACCGATATGTCTGCCAATAACATCTACCATACTATTTCTAGAACATTGAAATAGAATCAGGTATACCACCGATACATATTAGGGCCAAATATTTAGCTGAGAAATTCTTTGTAAAAATGTACAGTAACGTTGAATATAGCAATGTACTTAAACAATAATATCTATTTAGAAAATAAGGATAAAGAAGAACTACAAGAACTGTGTAAAAATGTTTATAAGACGGACAAGTGGAATTGTGGCTCGTTAGAGGTACATATGGTCAAACCTTTGATATGCAATGACATTAAAATTACGAACAATGAAGAATTTTTGAGTTTCATAAATAATAGTGAGAGAAAAGAACATCGCATACTATACACTGATGGTTCCAAGACTACGCATGATGTGAAGGCAGCCTTTTATGACTCTACATTGAAAATTGGCAGATATTTTCGATTACATAACAATACATCAATTTTTACGGCAGAAGCATATGCTATCTATGAAGTTTTGAAATATATAAAAAAGATGTTACCGAAAAAGTATTTGAGTGTCACAGATTCACTCAGTGTATTGAAATGTTTGGATAATACTACATTATCATATAAGAATAACATATACATATATTCTGCAAAAGAAATTTTAAAAGTTCTATATGATATGGGAAAAATTGTTGAATTTCTATGGGTGCCATCTCACTCAGGTATTACAGGAAATGAAATAGCTAATTCGTTGATGAAAGGTACTTTCGACATTCCAGTTCATGAAAACGCCTCAATTCCTTTTACGGATTTTTATAGTGCAATAAAAGGCAGAATGTATTTGACGTGGAATAAGTATTGGGAAGAAACTAGAAAAGTTAAAGGAGCATGGTATGCCAACATTCAAGATGTGATACCCAAGATGCCATGGCACCAAAAATTGAAAAATCCATCTAGAAAATATATTACAACTATGAACCGCTTACGAATTGGTCATGGAAGATTCCGGGAGCATTTAAACAGGATTAAACTCGAAGACCAAAATGCTTGTCGATATTGTAAATCCAACAGTGTGGAAACTTTACAGCATCTTATTTTAGAATGTCCTGCCTTCTTTATACAGAGAATGTTATTGATAGATGGCTTAATAGAGATATATAATAACTGCAGAATACCCAGCCAATTGCCATCTATCATACAAAACACTAATACATATCCTATATTATTTGAATATGTAATGAATACTTTCGAAAACATATAAAATCATGAAATGTACTAATGAATGGCCGAAATGGAGAAATTCACGGCCGTAAAACTTATTAAAAAAAAATGTCGTTATGTCAACTTTACAAATAAATGTGAAGCAGTGAATTATTAAATTTAATTGAATTACAGAAATGGGTTATAGCTACTTACTTCAATAAGTCTGTTTAGCAAGGTACGGTACCTACATACGTACATATTTTAGTCTTAGTTTCGAAAACAACATAATAAATTTAATAGGTTATGTTGTTGATTTTTTCAGTGATACAAAATTGCTGAAATGGTTTGAGATCAAACATGCAGGGCACAATAATGAAGGCCCGTAATCTTTTTAAGCTGTATCAGCAATCGCTTAACCGCCGGCCTTATTTAATGCAAGCTGTGCAGACGGGCACTCTCATGGCCGCTGGTGATCTTATATGCCAAACTTTTATTGAAAAGAAGACTACTAAGCAGGTCGATTACAAAAGGACTATTGGGTTTTCATCAATTGGATTTTTTGTTGGCGTAGGTATAACTTGTTTGATATAGGCAAATACAATATATCGTCAAAGAACAGCTCTGTGTACAAGAGCCAGTGTTATTGCAGTGATAATTGTATTTTATTTTCAAGTACAGAATAAATTCATAAATATTTTCAAAGTAATAAAGTAAAAATTTGTTTTCCCTTTACAAATATTGTCTAAGTCTAGACATTACCTGGCTAGCTTGGCCAAGTTGTTTTTTTTTTCTACTAAAAATTCTGGATCGATATCTTACAAGCAGGTTAATGCTTAAAATAAAAAACTGCTTTACAACAAATGCTAAGTATATTTATGTTTGAAGAGGTTGAAAAAGGTCTTTTATGAGACATGTAATTAGGGCTGCCATCTGTCCGGGTTTCCCCGGATTTGACCTAGTTTACAGGGTGTCCGGAGAGCGTCCGGGCGGGGTTTCATTTGTAGTCCGGGTTTATAATTTTTCTGTTTTTGATCGCCAATTGATCTGTCAATATGTCTTTGAAAATAAATAAATCTATTCTAACATTGTAACCATAAATGTAGACTTTCTACAAAGATCAGTACCCCTAGCACGAACCAATATCGAATTCGTGACATTACGGACTCGCAAACTATTCAATTTCAATTCGATATTACGAATTCGATAATTTTTACACTGGTCGGTCAAACATCCCTCGGATGGAAGTAGAAGGGTGTAAAGACAGACTTGTGTCCGAGATTGAGATGTTAGTGGATCAAGTCTCAAATTGGCAAACCCAGCAAAGACACATGTGTGTGTGAAAAAGCTTGGGTGCTCAGTAGATATAGTAAGTACCTCAAGCCTAAATATCGGCTGTTATTATACAAAGTACTGGTCCTCTGGGCTGGAGCACCCCAATACCAGCTCCTTCCTCTTGACCGGATGCAAAAGCGAGCAGTTTGACATATCGATGATCCTGAGCTCACTCACGCGTTGCAACCCCTTAATTACGCAGACACGGTACAACACGCAACTCCTTGTACTTGTTGTACCGTCTATACAATGGAGAGTATTCTAAGGAATTATTCAACCAGATGCCAGTGGCCAAGCTTCTTCACAGCATCACACACCGCAGAGAAGTTCACGCCCACCATCTGGGCGCCTGGCGTTCGAGCACCATGTGTTCCTTTCTTTTGCGTACCAGCAAGATCTGGAACGAACTTACCTCAGTATTTTTTTCTTATGGCTATAATATGGTAATCTTAAAAAGGCGGATGAACCTTTTCGTTCAGAGCGGGTAACGCATGATTGGCCCTTGGTGCTGCAAGTGTCCTTGGGCAGCAGTGACCACTTATTATCATGTGGACAGCTAACTTTTTTGCCTACATCAACATAAAAAAAAAGTTGATTTGTGACATTTTTAACTGCTTTTTTATTGGTCTGTTCGGGTTTTTGGCTCCAAAATCTGGGGTTATCACGCGTCTTGTCCTGGTTTCCACATTTTAGAGATGGCAGCCCTACATGTAATCATCCTCATGAATGGACCAAATGTCCATAGTTATTATTAGGCGTGTTTTAGTGGTCCAACTTTACATTGTTCCTTTCAAATGAAACTGATTATGAGACATTTTCTTAAATGATTTCAAAGTCTTCCAAGGGTCTTTTTGTGATTTTATATTAAGAAAAATCAGTGATTTACGACATTACAACAACAGTTTCATTTCAGGGGCCTGCATTAAGAGTCTGGTATGGTTTATTAAATAACCGCATAGGATCTACTGGTAAAACTGTAGCACTGAAGAAGGTGTTTGTTGATCAAGTTTTGTTTGCTCCTGCATTTTTGTCACTAATTTTAGTGGCTGTTGGAGCTCTGCAAGGAAAACCATGGGAAACTGTAAAATTAGATTTGAAAGCTAATTATTCTGATGTTCTTATAACAAATTACTATATATGGCCTTGGGTGCAGCTAGTAAATTTTTATTATGTACCTCTGCAATACCAAGTGCTTGTTGTGCAAACAGTTGCTTTGTTTTGGAATACTTATTTGTCATGGAAAACAAATAGGAAAAGGCTTGTTGAGTAAATTAATGATGTAAAATTAGCTTCAATTTATTTTTAATTTTTATTGTAATGTATTAGTTTATAGACAATTACATAATTTCAAATATGTATTACATCTTTTTTAATCTTTTGAGGCACTGAATATTAACAATTCCTTGTGGAAATATGTTAATTCAAGTTATAGTTTTTATTATTTTTAAAGCACGTAACTGCTTGATGTTTAAATCTAAAGAAATATAACTAGAAAAAATCCACGCGGACCAGGCAGCAGACGGGACTCGAACCCGCACCCTTCGCAATCCGGGCGAATGCACTGACCCCACTGATTTTTTTCTAGTTATATTTCTTTAGATTTAAACATCAAGCAGTTACATGCTTTAAAAATATCTTCTTTCAAATATTTAATACTTGTAAAAGTATTCATTTGACATTGTGGGTTACCTATAATGCGAAGAGATAGCGCTGCCTTGCAGCTTAAGAATGGCTAGAAGAATTTCGACGCGGTCCGTGAGGGCCGCGGTAGCATAATTGGTCAGTGCATTCGCCCGGATTGCGAAGGGTGCGGGTTCGAGTCCCGTCTGCTGCCTGGTCCGTGTGGATTGTTTTCTAGTTACATTTCTTTAGATTTAAACATCAAGCAGTTACATGCTTTAAAAATAATAAAAACTATAACTATAATTGCTATTTCTTCTTTCAAATATTTAATACTTGTAAAAGTATTCATTTGACATTGTGGGTTACCTATAATGCGAAGAGATAGCGCTGCCTTGCAGCTTAAGAATGGCTAGAAGAATTTCGACGCGGTCCGTGAGGGCCGCGGTAGCATAATTGGTCAGTGCATTCGCCCGGATTGCGAAGGGTGCGGGTTCTAGTCCCGTCTGCTGCCTGGTCCGCGTGGATTTTTTTTCTAGTTATATTTCTTTAGATTTAAACATCAAGCAGTTACATGCTTTAAAAATAATAAAAACTATAACTATAATTGCTATTTCTTCTTTCAAATATTTAATACTTGTAAAAGTATTCATTTGACATTGTGGGTTACCTATAATGCGAAGAGATAGCGCTGCCTTGCAGCTTAAGAATGGCTAGAAGAATTTCGACGCCGTCCGTGAGGGCCGCGGTAGCATAATTGGTCAGTGCATTCGCCCGGATTGCGAAGGGTGCGGGTTTCGAGTCCCGTCTGCTGCCTGGTCCGCGTGGATTTTTTTCTAGTTATATTTCTTTAGATTTAAACATCAAGCAGTTACATGCTTTAAAAATATCTTCTTTAAAATATTTAATACTTGTAAAAGTATTCATTTGACATTGTGGGTTACCTATAATGCGAAGAGATAGCGCTGCCTTGCAGCTTAAGAATGGCTAGAAGAATTTCGACGCGGTCCGTGAGGGCCGCGGTAGCATAATTGGTCAGTGCATTCGCCCGGATTGCGAAGGGTGCGGGTTCGAGTCCCGTCTGCTGCCTGGTCCGCGTGGATTTTTTTCTAGTTATATTTCTTTATGTTAATTCAAATTAATTAATAAATAACTGATAAATAACAAACATATGTAATACAGATTGGTAATGTTTTCAAAACAAAGCTCAGTCTGTGCTTCATATTTCTTCCTAATGTAAGGAATATTTTCAATTGAATATAAGTATTAAAGTACATAATTAGTTTCTTTATATATAGAGATGATAAAAAAATATAATTGCTTGAATAGCGAACTTAAGGCCTTTAGGCACTATCCATCTTGCTTGCGCTTTCCATCTAAAAGAACGTAATACTTCCACTAGGCTACTCGCGAAGTAGGTCGAAGTCAAAGTTGGCCAAAGTCCGAAGTATGTGAGGGAACTCCCAGCACCGCTCGCACCCTTCGGATCATGTTTTCTTTAACCACCGGCGCGGCGCTCATACACTTAAGGTAACCTGTACTAATGTTGACCCTCCCTCCCACCATTTCAAAATTCAAAAACAGCAATGTCCATAAAAAGTATAAAATGAGTTGACTATGGTACAAAAATCTACAGACAAAATAAATCATTTTTATAATACTCATATGAACCTAAGTCCGCTTTGTCCAATAGAAAACGACTGTTAAACTCTTTCGTTTGCTACAGAAACAGCATTGTCCATTCCTGTTTGTATCAAATTACGCATAGTCCATCGCCACCAATCACGTCAAGTGTTCCCATATGGCGGATTGTTGTATGCAGTTGTGAGTTTGCTCTCGGTTAATTTTAGTTTTTTCATGTTAAAAATTATTTATTCGGCATAACGTTATTGATATAATCGTCATGGAGTGTTACCCTGAAGTTCTTGACAATAAACAGGCACGGAAACGTCGAGTAAATGCTGCAAAATGGAAAAAGAATCGAGTTAAAGAACTACGGTGAGTATACTATGTTGATTATGCTTTGATACTTTTTATCTATTCACTTGTTTTGGAAAAATCTTATGCGTATGTAATCTGAAATGGGATAAAAAATGTTATGATGTACCTTGTATAAACCTATGTAACTTTTTTTTAAACTAGTTTTAAGAATCTGTACTTTATCTCAGTTTCATAATATTTCTTATAAGGTCTATCAGTTTATTTCTGTTTTCATCTTACTATATGTAATAGTATAGTGAAATCATAGATGGGCTATTTTGCAAGCTCCGCAACTTTAGGAAAGATTACACTGGAATGTCTGAGCAGTGTTAATCTAAATAATATGGATTGTTTTTTTTTCAGGTACGCAGCAAAGCATTTGCCAGTTAAGCCGACATGTAAACATAAATGCAAAAACTTACAATGCTCTGAAATTCCACTGCAGGATGTACGAAAATTCCATGAGTCTTTTTATCAATTGAAAAACAAATTGAAACAAGACTCATTTTTATTGAAACATGTGAAAGGTATAAAAACCCAACGTCGTCGTCCAAGATCTGAATCTCGAAATTACAAACCTAGAGGTTTGCAGCTGAAGTATAGGGTATACAGCAGATCACAACAAAAAATGATACATGTTTGCCAAAAAGCATTCCTTCAGGTTTTACAAATAAAAGATACCGCGTCGAAAATGTAATAAAGAATTATCATATATATGAAAATTCCCTACAGAAAAACGTGGAGGTGACCACAAGTCCCACAAATACAAGGACAAAAAAGAGAATATCATTAAATTCATTTAATCAGACTTTCAAGTGTTCTGAAGCTCATTATTGTCGTGGTTATACGAGTCGTATGTACTTGCCTCCAGAGCTAAGTATTAATAAAATGGCCAAAATGTACAATGACCAAGCACCAGAAAACCTCAAAGTGAAGAGGCTGTATTTTCGAACCGTTTTCAATACTTGTTTTAATTTGGGCTTTGGGAGTCCTCGGGTCGATGTGTGCTCAGCTTGTCTTCAGTATAATGAAAAATTAAAAATTGCGCAAACTGATAGAGCGACAAATCTATCCTGATGGCTGAGAAAACAGTACACAAACGTCGAGCTAAAGAATTTTTTAAAATGTTAAAAGAAGAGAACCGTAAAATAAAGATTCTTAGTTTCGATTGTCAGAAAAACATGCCGTTGTCCAAAATACCGGACCAGAGTTCGTACTATTCCCGCCAACTATACTTTTACAATTTTACTACAGTGGAAGCTAACTCCAAATCATCATTAACAAAAGAAAATGTGTTCGCTTATTGCTGGACAGAGGATGAATTTGCAAAAGATGCAAATCTTATAGTATCTTCAGTTTACCATCGGCTTTGCAATACAGTTTTTCCCCCCGAATGTAATCAACTTCGACTTATGGCCGTCGGGTGTTCCGGTCAAAACAAGAATTCTATGCTTATCGCAATGCTCTCACGTTGGCTAACAAAAGATGCGCCAGCCCAAATACATCTGGTTGAAGTAGTCTTACCAGTAGTGGGACACTCATTTCTTCCGCCGGATAGAGTATTTGCTCGCATTGAAAAAGAATTACGTAAAATTGAAAATATAATCAAACCAGAAGAATACTTTGATGTAGTGGAAAAACATGCTACTGCTATTAACGTTGCTACTACGGTTCAAGTATACGACTGGAAAACCGTTGTCAAAGATTTATTTTTGATTAAGTACCACAAAATGGCATATACCTTTTTCTAAATGCAAAAGGTTTTATTTAAAAAGAGCCAGCAGAAGGATTGATATGGTAGGCGTTAGAGGAGAACTTCATTACAAAAGCGATTCAGGTCAATATAAAAATGTTTGCAAAAAAGGTAAAAACACGGCTATGATTTTTCCCACTGCTATCCCACAAGGCATTAGTACTGTAAAACCGTTGAAATTAAGGGACGTTAACAAATTGTTATCTACTCATTTTGGGGATAAGTGGCGCGAATTAGAGATTTTGGAGTATTATAACAGAGTTGTACCAACATCACAGGAAATACCGGATGAAAATATGGTTGACAATATCGATTCCCTTGAAGAGTCGGTATGCGAAGAACAAGAAGAATCACCATTACTTTTAATTTGATTTTAATTTTTATACCTATAACTAATAACGAATAAAGATGTTATTCAACAAGCGTAGGTAGTTTATTTTGATATTATAAACCTTTTAGCATACGCCCCCGATTTTGTTCGCGTGGACTCTCTAAATCACTATGGAACCAAAATAAAAATGTTCTGTTTTAATCTAGGCTTCAGTCTGTGTTACAAATTTCATTCAAACCCGTTTAGATATTTTTTCGTAATTGAGTAAAACATGTAAACGTACATTCACTAATAATATTAAACTGCAAGTGGACTGTTTGTTATTCAAGTAAAAAGTATCAATATAGTGCAATCACTCTAGGCCAGGATGGTTATGTTTCAAAGCCAACAATGTCCATGTTGTTTTTGCAACAAAAAGCGCAAAGTCCAACCGTGTGTAACAATGCCAGCAATGTCCATAATATTTTTCTGGTTTTTGTTCGTGAAGATTTTTCATAATTAACTTATGTATTTGATTAAATACTTTATTTTAAATCCAAATACTATAGTTCTAATATTATCACAGGTGCCCATAATACGTACTACAAATATAATAAATTACGCGCCATTACTTACAACGGACATTGCGGTTTTTGAAACTAATAGACTCAAATATCATTAAATTAGTGAACATGGTATCTTTTTATTACTCTTATTTTGGCTATTTAGATTGATATCTTCGGTAGAAATTACAAATGGCATCTTATTTTGAAAAAACAAACTTTGATTGCAGCAATTTATGATATTTACGGGATTGTTGCCATGTATGATCGAATCAACTGATACTCGATAATTCGCTTCTAACGTCAAAACAGACAAGTTTTCCTTCGTAGAGAATGCGTAATTGTACTTAGGACCCTCTAATAACAAGGCAACTATGTTAATTTGGATCAAAGATATTTGAAAATGTACTAATAATTTCAATGCAGTTTGAATTTCGAAATCACTAAAAAACATGTACCATGTGGACAGCTGTTGCACACCAAATTTAATTTGACCTTGCAACTAGGGATTTATATCGGACCTATCTGCAAATTTCGATTAAATTTTACAGGACGAACAGAAATGTGTTTTGCTTGTCTTTAGCATATTTAAACGTAGTCTAATAAAGAAAGTGTTATACATCAGGGATGTAACGGAGGTAAAGGACAATGTTAAAATTGGCCTAAGAACCAACACCAATTTGGCATTTATGATAATTCTTAGTATATTTTTTGCGATAATTATCAGTATTTAGATTGTGACGGACACTTCCAGTTAAGTAAGCTAAATTAAAAAGTTAATAAATAAGCTGAGACAAAAAAATACCATTTTATGTGTATAATCAACACAATACAGCACTGCAAATAAAACACTTTCTTCCTAATGCCGGCACTTCACTTGGCTATTTGTATTTGCTATTTAAAAACATGACATTAGTCTGTCCTTTTCATTCCATAATAAGCATGACAAGGACAAACTGTTGTCAAGTGAAGGGCCGACATAAACTTGATACTGTGTGGTTGTGGTAGGCAGTTTGCATTCGTAGTAACTGTGGCATTCGTGCATTCTCGTCAAAGAGTACTTTTTATATACGGAAAATTCTCGTACGGATTACCTGGTTGTGTGTGTTTATTTGCGATTGTTTTTCCTTTAATTTAACTATTACTATTTCGGTTATCTAATATGCCATCGTTGTAACCAAAGAGCAGAGACATTATTACCAAGTGCTAGTGAACCTATGCCACAACATCCTGAGAGGATCATATTGCCAAATTATTCAAGAGCACCTGATACACATTCACGCTGCATATTTACACAATATACATGTGTTAAACAAATAAATACAATTATGTGAAAAATAGTCAATAAATACTATGAAGCAAAACTATTGTTTTTATTTTATTCATGATTCCTACCTAACCAAGTTTTTCCTAATAGTTATTCTTTAAAATCGCACCGAATACAAGAATTAGTTGTAATATTAATTCACTTTATACTGAGTTCATAGGTTGACCTACGTTTCATTGAATATTTTCATAACCTCAAAAAAATTTTAGTTTTCCTAATAATTTAAGTTCTTAGAAGTGTCCGTTAATAATCTTTGTTTTTACAGTCATTTACTTGCGATTTCGAATCTAGAAAATAATATTTCATGATTGTTGGTTCTTAGGCTAACTATGTATGGACACAGAGCAATGTCCTTTATCGGAACCGAAGTCTGAGTTTTTAAAGGGGATTGGGTAATTTTGTATGGAGGTTGGCTTGATTTTTTTTACAGCGGCCACTGAACTAATTATGATTGTTTGATAGTACTATATATGTGAATTGTTCTTAGCAAAGTAGTAGTTCCATAACTAATACTCAGACCAAATAAAAAGTATAGACGGAGTCTGCCAAACAAAAAAGAGAAGCCGATAAAACTACGCCTCGCCGTGTAACTACACGCACACACATGCAACGAAACTACGCCTTGGCTTCCCAGTCGAGCTATCCCGGCGCGCGGAGTGTGACGTAATAATAAAAAACAATATTTATTACAGAAAATGCCGAATTGTGTAGTGATAACGTGTAGAAACCAATCTTCCAAGAATAAAAAACAGGATAGAATCACATTTCATACGTAAGAAAAAATAAACTAATATTTTCAATTAATTAAAATCAAATTTGAGGTTGTCGCTTTGTAAACAAAACCTGAATGAAACGCTGCCATGATTATACGTTACAGTTTTACCCTTTTGTTGGGTAGCGTGAAATATAACGTAACGTTATTTTATTAAATGCATTGTGTAGCATACTTTTATATTATTCGAATATTGTAATGCATGGATAAACAATTACACGAAACATCTTTATTAGCTTTTTTCTTTATATATTCGTATAATTTTTTTGGGATGTAATACAAATTATATATTATACGATTTCCTAATCGAGATCAAAATCTAAAAGAGAAGTGGATTGCAGTCATTCGTAAGAGTAGAAATGAACCATTGTGGCAACCAGTAACTAGCTTCCCGCAGCGTGGTTTGTTCGTCTCATTTTCAGAGCGACGATTTGTACTACACAACAAAAGGGTTACATCGTGTAAAATAAAATGCATATCCAAGGGTATTTTTTTTTACTTAACTTAATATAGTTACTTAGGTTAATTTATATTTTAAAGATTCCAATAATTCTTCAGTCGTGCAGACGGTTGAAACACAAAATTACTTCGTACCACCCAAAAGTAATAATTTGCAATAAATTAAAATTGCGACTATAATTTGAGATTTAAAATATCCTATCTCTCAAGTTGGATCGAACTGCACATGGTGTGCGAATTTTATTATAATCGGTTCAGTGGTTTAGGAGTCCATTGAGGACAAACATTGTGACACGAGATTTATATATATTAAGATATTCACTATGAACGAATTAAAGAATAATTAAAATATGACGCTAACCGCACTCCATGAAATCCCGCCAAAAACAAAGGTTAAGCTTTGTTTTTATTATATATTTTTTAACTAAACTTTTATTAGTGTTCTTCTTCTTAGTCGGGCACTCTTGTCAGAGTGGTCGTGGTTGTACTGATGAGGTACATGGTGGGGTGTTCTTTGGGTCGCTATCAATGCCGAGGGTAGCTCTCCTGGCGATGTGCTTCCATTTCTGACGGTTCGAGGCGTCGCGAGTAAACTGGACCATGGTAGACTCAGTAGCCTTTGTGATGGCGTCTATCCAGCGGGTTGGTGATCGACCGCGTGCTCTCTTGCCTTCCACCTGGCTTTGAACCACCAGCCTTTCCATCGAATTCTCATTTCTAGAGATGTGACCAAAGAACTTCAGTATTCGTAGTTGCACAGTTGACGAGAGTCTGTCTTTAACACAAAGCTCTTTGAGGATGGATATATTGGTACGAAATGCCGTCCACGGGATCTTTAGGAGGCGTCTCCAGCACCACATCTCCAATGTATCGATTTTACGGCGATCCTGCAGTCTCAAAGACCAAGTTTCGGCTCCATAAAGAAAGATTGGAAACACAAGGCATTTCATCAATCTGACTTTAGTCTTCTTGGTAACTCTCCTGTCCCTCCAAATCTTTCCTAGCCGTTCCACTGCAGTTTATTAGTGTAACAGTTATTAAACTTATAAATCACAGGAACCCCAGATCTCCAAGTGCAGGACCTTTGGCTCACGAGAGGTTGGATCTAGGGCTAGTGCAAAACTAATCTGGACTAGTTTAGAGAATAAGCCTACGATAGATTTTTCTAATATTTTATAACGTTATGCAATAACGTTATTAATATTTCTAATATTGGGGTATTATAAATGACTATGGTAACACTGGCTAATGCACTACATACATAAAAAACCGGCTTCACTTTTTTGTTCGGCAGACTCCGTCTTTACTTTTTATTTGGTCTGAGAACTAATATCGGAACCAAGATATTTGATCTTGAATTCTAACAAAAGTCATATGATATAAAAGCTCATTAAATTATCGCCTGAGATTATTTTACATGTTTAGTATTGTGGTAACACTTTCTAAAAGCTAACACTAATGAAAAAAAAAGAAACAGATCAAAAACTTGATCTAGAGTACCTACCTGGGTCGCGCGCGGTAGCATTGGTGCTCGATGACGCCGGGAAGTACTTTGAAAGAATTCTGG